GGGAGTAAGAAAGGAAATATCTTTATCAGTCTTCAAGCCTCTTGGCTATTGAACATGAAAACGCAGCAGATGTAGCAGATGTGCATCTACATGTACATATTAAGGACAGTTCTTAGAATTTTAACCGAACCTTGGATAGCCTTCTGTTGCACAATAGCCAGGTTTCCTCCCTGCACAGTCCGAAGGCATTGAGGAGTCTCTCTCACCAAGCCTCCCAGGGCACCGACAACCACAGGTACCACGTCAACCTGGGTGAGGGACCAAATTCTGGAAATCTCCCGCTTCAAGTCATAATATTTCGAGCGCTTTTCAGCCATTTTCTTATTGATGTTGTTCTCACCAGGGACGCTGATGTCTATGATGTATGTGATGCGCTCCTTGTCATCAACAAGGAGCAGATCGGGCCTGTTTGCTGATACAGTTGAACATCGATTATCCGCACATCGACCATTCGATTATCCGTAACAGTTTTTTTGGACGCACGTGCCGTAGAGTACGCACTGTACATGTAGTGAGCCATTCAAAACATACGAAAATTTTGAAAAGTAAAAAGTAAAAAGGTCGTGCGGCTAGTAATAACCACTGAAAGTGTGTGAGTGACAGTTTTTTCTTATCCGGAACATTTGCCTTATCTGAACACCGCCTGACAGTTGTCTGCCCAGAGGTGGTCGGATAATCGATGTTCAACTGTAGTTTCAGGTCAGTTGGGACCGAATACTCCCAATAGAGCCGATACCAATCACTTTGGACCAATGCCTTGAGCTGGTGGTCGAATCGTGAAGCAACAGTAGGTAGATCCCGTGCTCTACACATTTCGAAGTGCACATACTTGACTATCCGGTTATGACGTTCGATGTAACTGGTCCGAGCAAGAACTGGGCAGGCACTGACAATATTATGGTCAATTGTTTCTAAGCTGCCCTTGCAAAGTCTGCAATTGGCATCAGTTCGAGCAATTGACTTTATTATTATTATTATTATTATTCGGATGGTGAGCCAATTAAATAATTGTGAAAAGAAGAAGGACAAGATGTTACGAGTTATGACTAACTGTCCACCAACGTAACCAGATCTTATACAGTCAGTGCGTGCGACAAAATGGCAAAATGGCAGTTTTGTGCCATTTTGTCGCACACGCTGACTGTATAAGATCTGGTTGCGTTGGTGGACAGTTAGTCATAACTCGTAACATTTTGTCCTTCTTCTTTTCACAATTATTATTATTATTAAAAAATTTTAACTCGGATTTTTTTTTTTTTTTTTTTTTACTATGTTCACATTCCCAGCTCGAAAATAATAAAGAAAGACAATGATACTGAGACTAGGACGAACGTGACAACTATTGAGCAGGGGCTGCACCGAGACGCAGCAGTGATGGTGGGGCATTGATGGCTCTGCCGACCTGAGGTCTCGGCATCACGGCCAAAAACACGCACCAAAAACAAAAGATAGAGCTGTACGAGTCAGCAAAATGAAAAGAAAGGAAGGGTTAACATCAGCGAGTGTGCGGGAGAAACTGTGAGACTATTAACAAATTACCAGGGCTGTTACTGAGAGGAGCATCATCATGGCTGATCATGGCGAGTCGGTTGTCTGAGCCAGTTGTGGTGCATAGATAGGGATAGAGGAGAACGACGAGAGCATCATCATAGCGAGTCGACCGCCCAGAGCCAGTTTGTGCTTCGCAGATGGCGATAAACATTAGTTTTGAATGCTTGCATTCCCTTGCTGTGGGGAGGCTGGGACAGAAGAGCGGCGGGGAGGGAGTTCCAGTCACTAATACTGCAGTGTGGGAACGAGCGCTTTAATGCCAGCGGAACAGATGCAAGCAGCTGGTGTTGGAGCTGGTGGTCATGGCCAATGACGCTACCATGCTCGCTGCGAGTTCTGGGGCTGGATGAGGGGAAATAGCGCGGTGGCAAAACAGAGAGCAGCTGCGGAGGGCCAGGCAGGTAATGCAGCTTGTATAGGCAGGCAAGCGAGGCAACAGTACGACGGATGGCCAGGCTAGGTAATAGTGCACCTGGACCGATGATTCGCAGAGCACAGCGTTGGATATGATCCAGGCGTTGCAGGTAGCTGGGCGGAGCACCTATCCAGATGAGGGGGGCATACTCCATAACTGGTCGAACAAATGCCTTGTATACTGTGGTGCGGCCGGCTGGAGAGAGAATGTGCGCTGCACGGCGCAGGAAGCCCAGGCGTTGTTTGGCTCGAGTGGCAGCCTTCCGGAGATGAGTGCTGAATGACAGCTTCGAGTCAAAGGTCACTCCAAGTAAAGAGAGAGCCTTCTCCTCAAGGACAGGAGTGCCGCCGAAGACAATGCGAGGCAAATTGATGGGGGTTCTGCGGAGAGTGGCAGTCATGGCTTGGGACTTCGACGGTTCGAAGGAGATGCGCCATCTGCGGCCCCACTGATGCAAGCGATCAACAGAAGTCTGGAGGCTCAATGCTGCGTCGGCTGGGGATGTGTCGAGGGATATCAGGCTGTACAAGGTAGTATCGTCGGCGTACGCCTCCAGGTGGGCTCCGGGTGACAGGGTCTCTGAGGCGTCGTTCACGTAAATCAGGAAGAGTGTAGGGCCGAGTATGCTCCCTTGGGGAACTCCTGCTGATATGGTATACAGCGATGAGGTTTGGCCACCCACCAAGCATTGAATGGACCGTCCACCTAGGTAGGAAGAGAGCCAGGTATGCAGGGGGCCGCCAATGCCAAGATGGCGGACTTTGTGGAGGAGGCCAGCATGGGACACACGGTCGAATGCTCCGGCAATATCCACGGCTAGAATACGTGCTGCACCGCCTCGGCCGACGGCTGTGATCCAGGCGTGGTGTAGAGCCTGTAGCGCATCTGAGGTCCCGAGGCGGCGACGAAACCCGAACTGGTGGGGTGTCAGGAGTTTGTAACGCTCAAGGTGATTCATGAGCTGACGATTGATAATGCTCTCCATGATCTTAGAGATTATGCTCAGCAGTGAAACTGGACGATAATTCCTTAGGGCGGATCGTGAAGATCGCTTGTGGATTGGAACCACGCTGGCAGTCTTCCACATTTGTGGCTGGACTCCGTGCTGGAAGCAAAGAGCAAAGAGCTGACACAGTGGCTTGGCAAGTTCTCTGGCGCATTCCTTCAAGACACGAGCGGAAATACCGTCGGGTCCAGTCGCCTTTGAGGCATCCAGGCGAGCTAAAAGCTGGTGGACTGCATCCGGGGCGAAAGTGGACTGTCGTTAGTGCAGGTGCGTCAGCGAATGCCGTGTCCGGTAAGTCCATCGTGGTAAGGTCGCGGCCTTGCACACTGCACTTGCGGGAAAAGAAACGTGCGAAAGCCTCCGATTTCTCATAGCTTGTGGCCCTCTCGCAACCTTCACTATCAACGAGCAGGGGAATGTCAGTGTTCCGACCCTCGCCACAAGCGCACTTTAGCTTCGTCCACCATTCCTTCTCCTTCAGGGACCCATTCGACAAGCTATGTCTGAGGCTGTTGTCTGAGGCTGTTCTCTTTGGAAACTCTAGATCTAGCGAGGACTGCAATAGCAATGTTTACATAACGGGTAAACTCATGTTTCAGTGCAAAATCGTGAGGGTGCTTCCTCCAAGTGCGCCAGCGTTTGTCCTTCTCCTTCATGGCGGCTGCACACTCAGGTGTCCACCATTTCGGATCCGTTGACTTCACTGTCAGTGTCTTGGACGGAACGAACTGGGAAACGGCTTTCATGATTGTGGCAGTAACGTGCTCACACGAAGTTTCTGGGTTGGCAGTAATGACGGTTGACCAATCAACCTGGCGGAAAAAGGATCGGAGGCGGTTCCAGTCTGCCTTTTCATAGCGCCAGACAGTTCGTTGCACCGCCGCTTCATGGGTAGGAAGAACACCTGTGAAGTCCGAAAGAATTACAGCGTGGTCCGATCGACCAATAGGGGACATTATCTGCGTGGTCACTGGAGAGTTGAACGTGGACATCACCAGGTCGAGTGTGTTATCCCCGCGAGTAGGACTCTGAACGTGCTGCGTGAGAAAGTGGGCTGTGCATGTGTCTTCGAGGGCTTCCCCCGCAGATGTGGTCTTCGAGCTATGGAGCCAATTGCGGTTATGCACGTTAAAATCACCGGCGAGTATGAGGTTGGCACCAAGTGCACGAGCAAAGGGAAGGATGTCATCGAGATGGTTAATGAGCGTAAGGTCACTGGGCCCCGTCGAACCTGGCCTGTAAGCAGCGCCCAAGACTATCCTTTGTCCAGGGGACAATTGAATGGATAGCCAAATGAGTTCGTGATGTGGAGAAAATAACTCATCAATTACCATGGCTGGGAGTGTAGATCTGATCCATACGGCCTGTTACGGAGGTAGCCTCAATTGAAGTATTATTCGTTCTCGTTCTGCTTCTTCGAATGTTGCTGAACAGTTTTCCTCTCCATGCTCTGCTAAATTGTTGCCTGTACGCGCCACGTCTAGCGCCTTGTTTCTACGCTAGCACTTAGCACCTTATTCGTCATCACGCGCTCTTCTTATCTACATGTATGTGCTAGGTGTTGGTGTAGAGGCAAGGTGTTAGATGTGGCCGCCGCTCTTGCTATATAGTTCATTGGAGCGTAGGCACAGTTGTTGTTTTTCCAGAGTTCTGCTTGTGATGGTATTCTTCTGAATGGTCATCGAAGTAAATCTGAGTATGGTTCAAGACAGTTAGTTGCCTTTCGAGAATATCTCTGGGTTTATGAGCCACATTATTTGTTCTCCTCTTCCTCGATATGAGACAACGTGACCAGATCGAAATAAAAACAAAATAAATAGTACCTTACTAGCTCCACCACTAAGAACCCAACATCGTGCACTTAGCAAAGCAAGTCCAGGTGGCTAGACAGCAGGTCCCCCGCAGCGGCGGCCCAAGCAGCTGGGTAAAGATATAGCAATACCGCTGACTAATAATAAGAAGATAGAGGGCATGCAATGATTTGCAGAAGACAGACAGCAGAAAAGCTAGAGTGTCCACATCAATCCATCACTCTGGCGCATACTCCAGCGGGCACAAGCGGTTGATGGGTCGCACAAGAGTACGATCACCCACCTGCACCTTGGCAACACGTACTCGTTCATCCTTCCCGGGGTAGACTTCCAGAACCCGAACCAATGGCCATTTACGCCTAGCGGTGTCTGGTGACAGCAACAGCATGACATCACCAACCTTCACGTTGCGTTGGTCTGCCGTCCATTTGACCCGCTTGCTGAGCTGAGGCAGCCACTTTTGGATCCAGCGACGCCAGACATGCCCAAGCAGCTCCTGAATGCGTTGCCATCGCTGACGCGGATGGTCTGACTCCGGTAGGACGACTTCTCCAAGTCTCCCGTTCAGAAAATGATTCGGGGTGAGGGGCAAGTTGTCGTTGGGGTTGACTGATATGGCAGTGATCGGGCGAGAGTTGATCAGATCCTCTGCTCCGGCAAAGGCGGTCAGCAGATCCTCGTCGGTGATGTCACTGCCAGACAGAATGTGGTAAATAGCACGTTTGGCTGCCTTCACCATAATCTCGAACACACCACCGAAATGAGGTGCTGCTGGAGGGTTGAACGACCAGGACACACCATGATGTGCGGTGCCCGTCTGGACTTTGGCTTGGTCGATGTTGCGAATGAGGTCCTTCAGCTCCCGAACTGCACCAACAAAGTTTGTGCCATTGTCCGATATGACTTGATTGGGAAGGCCGCGCCGGCTCACGAACCGGAAGAAACAGTTGATGAAACTAGATGTGTCGAGTGAGAATGCGAGCTCCAGATGTACAGCGCGCGTCTCCAGACACGTGAATACACACAGATAGCGTTTGGTTCTGGCCCGACCGCGTCCCTGCATGGTGAGGAAGGGGCCGGCGTAGTCGACGCCCACGCGGCTGAACGCACGGTGAGAGGGCACGATCCGACTGACCGGCAGCGGTGCCATTCGCTGCCCAGCTGGCTTGCTCCGGTACCGGCGACAGACTGCGCATTCCTGTTCCCACTCGTGGACGGCCTCCCGTGCGGCGATGACCCAATAGCGGGCGGCCAGCGCAGACAATGTTGCGTTCGTCCCCGTAGCGTGCTTGCCCTTCTCGTGTTGGAACCTGATGAGCATCTTGGTCACGGCATGCTTCCGCGGCAGGATGATCGGATGGACAGCGTCTCGTGGTAGGAACTCTGCATACTGCAAGCGCCCTTCACAGCGTAGAACACCGTCGTCGTCAAGAAATGGACATAGCTTGGCCAGCTTACTGGTAGCATGTACTGCTTTGCGTTTCCTCAGGAGGACTATCTCAGCAGCGAACGCATCACGCTGCGTGTTCCGAACGACGTACAGCTCTGCGTCAGCCAACTCAATCGGGGTGAGCTCTCCTGCCAGGCGATCCTCTGCCGCTGCACGGCAGTTCGAGATGAACCGCCGGACCCATGTGAGCGTACGGATGGTCTTCTGCCAGTCTAGCCACTTTGCTGGGTCAATGATCCAATCCTGCTCGGGTGGTGCATCGTTGGCACTTTGGACGTCTGCATGATACGTTTGCATGTCCTGCGAGCGGTTGCGTGGCAAACCTTTGACCTCGTGCCGAGCGCCGGAGCTGGGCTGAAGCGTAGGGCTGGCAGGCCATGGCTCGTCGGTTGACAGGAAAGCGGGCCCAGTCCACCATAGGTCCGATGATGTCAGCACTGCTGCAGTACACCCACGAGAGACCAGATCTGCGGGGTTCTGGTCAGTGGTCACATGCCGCCATTGCTCTGGCTGTGTGAGACGACGAATCTCAGAGACGCGATTGGCCACGAATGTCTTGAACTGCCGACTGTGACCATGGATCCACCAGAGGACGTTCATGCTGTCAGACCACAGATAGATATCCTGCATCTCGAGAGCACGGCTGACGACGGCTGCCAAACGGGCTGCCATGACGGCGGCTATCAACTCTAGTCGTGGGATGCTCACCGCTTCCAGCGGGGCGACTTTAGACTTAGCTGCAACGAGTCGGCATGTAGCTCCACTGGGGTCCTTGGAAATGATGTAGGCGACAGCACCCATTGCCTTCTCGGAGGCATCTGCGAATACGTGCAGCGACGACACACCGTCAGCTGCCATGAGTGGTCTTGGAATGCGTAGCGTCTGCAGATCCCGCGCATCAGCAATCCACTCCTTCACCAGCTTGTCCACAGAGGGCTCCAGTGGGTCGTCCCAGGTCGAGCCTCGCAACCACAGTTCCTGGATGAGCATCTTGCCTCGGATGATGTACGGCGCCAGCAGACCCAGCGGGTCAAAGACGGATGCTACCCGTTGCAGCACGCTCCGCTTGCTGAACTCCTGGCCCGAATCCGGTGGGATGGCAAAACTGAAAGCGTCGCTAGCAGCTGACCACGAGATACCTAGCGTCTTCACTCTTGGCAGCTCCCCTGGTGACAGGTCGATGGAGCGTCCATGTTCTGACTCAGGGATCACTGTCAGAAGCTCGGCCGAGTTTGAGAGCCACTTCGTCGGGTGCATGCCGGCCGACTCCCACACCTTCACAAGAGACTTGTAGAGTGCGATGCCATCAGCGACGGTTGGCACGGAATCAAGCGTGTCGTCCATGTATGTGGACTTGTTGACTGCTTCAGCCGCACGTTCATCCGTACTGGTGAGCACCCTCGCATGCTCCTGGGAGACGAACTGAGTGAGGAATGGTGATGAGGCGAGTCCGAATACCACACGCTGGAACTCATACACTGCAGGCTGCGCATCGGCATCACAGTTGCGCCATAGGAATCGTTGGTATGGCCGGTCGGATTTGTGCACACCAATCTGCAGGTACATCTGCTTGATGTCACAGGCAATGGCAACAGGATGCTTGCGGAACCGCAGGAGCACGTTGCAGATGTCCCGTTGCAGCTTCGGCCCCTTGTTGAGGAAGTCGTTCACTCCGACGCCTTGGAACTGCGCCGACCCATCAAATACAATCCTCACTTTCGTTGTCTGCTTGTCCAGACGGACCACCGGAAAGTGAGGCAGGTACCAGATGCTGTGTGGTCGTGGTTCCTCCTTCGGCACACGGCGGATATAGCCCTTTGCCAAGTACTCCTGGATGATGGCGCTGTACTTGGTACCCAGACCGTCCGTTAGCAGCAGCTTCCGCTCGGTGCCAATCAGTCGTTTGCGTGCCATGGCGAAGTTGTCGGGCAGGACCGGTGGTGTTGTCTTCCACGGAAGGCCCACATGATACCGACCGTCGCTGAACGCCAGAGATTCCCGTGTCTGTGTGAGCAGTTTCTCCTCCGCCGGTGACAAGTGTGGCAAGTCGGGTACGGCTAACTCCTCGACGTCCCAGAAGCGACGCAGCAGCTTACTGATCTCATTGCTGCCGAGCTGCAGCTGCGCATGGTACGCATGCCCCATACGCGAACTGCCTGGGCTCGCCCGTACCGGCCCCACACAGGTCCATCCTAGCGGGGTGAGCCGTGCGACTGGTTCACCAGGCTTACCAGTCACCTCGTGCAAGGACTGGTGCGCTGCGATACAGTCCAGGCCGAGCAGAACGTCGACCCGATCAGGCTTGGCGGTGGGAGGGAAACGGATCCCTTTGAGATGTGGCCACGTCGATGCGCTGCGGCGCCAGTTGACTGGCTTCAGGCGTCCTGTTGGGTGCCGCACTGTCCAAGCATGGAGGTCTGTGCTGAACACGCCGTTGACACTTACGCTGCACGACACATGCACCGACTGAAATGTACTCGGTGTTCCGTCCAACGTGTTGACCGTGATGCTCTGCAACTCCCCGTGCAGACCAAGTTCGTGTGCTACGCCCTCACTGATGTAGCTCATGGTGCTGCCATCGTCCAACAGTGCATTGACGTGAATGCTTGTGTCGCCGTGCTTGATGGTGACCGGTATCGTCCTCAGGCTGATGGACACGTCGGTGCTCTGGGAGGCGTAGCACTCCTCTTCCGTGGACTGAGAACCCTCCGTGACGACGGAGCAGAATGTCTGCTGCTCTGTTTGGCTGGACGACTGTTGGGTGCTAGTTGTGTTTGGCATCGCGCGTCCTGCCCAACGCCCTGAGACAGAGTTCGCTGCTGGTGTCTGTGTGGACGGGCGCGTCACGCTGCTAAACACAGGGCCTCTGCTCTGTGTGGCGTGCAGAAAGCGATGGTGGAGCTTCGTGCACCCGTCCAAACCACATGGCCGACTCCGCGTGCAGTCGCATCCATTGTGGCCGACATCCAGGCAGCGGAAACACACACCTGAATCCTTGGCAATGCGCCATCGCTTGTTCACTGTCGCAGCTTTGAAGGATAGGCACTGCCACAGCTTGTGTTCACCTTGGCACACGATGCACTTTTGTGAGTTGGCTGCCGGCTGGCTGCTGGTCACGAACGTGCTTGGTCGAGGCGACCGGTGGACCTTTGTTGGCTGTGACGGCTCTGCCTTACTCACGGGACTCAAGCCAGCTTTCGTCTCCGCAGCGGAGACCATGAACTCTGCTTCCTGGGTACAGTACTCAAGCAGCTCTTCTACCGACTCAGCCTTAGCTTGTTCATGCCGCCACCGGTGGTAGCGGGTGATCAGCTGCTCGTCCAGCTTCTTGAGAAGAGTCAGGTAGAAGGTTCCGGCCGCCAGCTCAGTAGCTCGGCCCGAGTCCTTCAAGTTAATGACGGCGACGGCCAGCAGTTCCGAGAACCGCTCCAGGTCTCTCGGGTGCTCCTTCCGCACGGGTTTGAGGGCCTCAATTTCCTCCAGATGGATGGCAACTCGGCGCCTCTCTCCGCCATACTTTCGGTGCAATAGGGCCTTGGCTGCATCATACGCAGCGATGGTGTACCCGAATCGGTCGATGGCTTTCAACGGCTCACCCTGGACATACTGTCTTAGTCGAAGCATCTTGCATTCCGCGGTTAGCGGTGCCTTGTCCACACAGGTGGAAAACGCTGCCCACCAGGACTCGAAGCGCCGTTTATCGCCATCGAATGTGGGTATTGTGATCTTCTTCATGCTCGCCCATGGCCCGATGTCGGCTGCTAGTGGTCGTTCACCCGTCAGTGGAGGCTGATACATATGGCTGCTCGAGGACCCAGTCGGTTGGGGAGCCATGGATGTGTTGGGGACTGTCACAGCGGGGACGACCGTTGATGCACCTCCAGCTGCACCTCCAGCTGCAGGGACCGTTCTAGGGGGTAAGAACACACTCACTGCTGGTCTCAATCTGGACTGAGTGCTGGCAGTGGACTGGTGGCTCTGACTAAACTGAACAGACTTCTTGGTCAGCTGGGCCGTTCCCAGTGTGGTGTTGCTGACGCTGCTCCTCTTGGTGGGCTGACTGACTGCGCCTGGCATAGTACTACTGGCAGTACCATCATTAGCACTGGCCACTGACACACTGCTACCACTGGAACCGGTCACTGGCGCTGATGCACTGCCATTGCTGGTCTGATCAGCACTAGAGGTACTGGCAGTAGATGGTGTTGGAACCAGGAGTGGACTTGCGACACCTTGACTCTCATGAAAGGCCAAGGCACTTAGGCTACTAGGAGAAGTCTCCATGCCAGATTCCACCAGCCCAGAGCCAGCAGACCCAGAGTACAGCATTGACCTGGCCCCCAACTGGCCAAAGACAGACCGCTCCGCACCCACCTCCGTCAAGTGATCTGGCGTCATCATTGGAGCTGAGTACCTCGCCGTCGAGTACTGGCTGTATCCCAAGCCATGACCAGCTCCAAACCGCCCACCAACACTAGCGCTGTACGTGGCTTCTTCCAGTGCTCTGTTCACAGCTGCGCTGTACTTCTCCTCAAGCTCTTCCAGCTCCGCAACCAGCTTCCTCCGTTTCGACAAGTCTCCGTCTCCAGAACACAGTCCCAGAAGATCGCCCACGACGCCTGCTGCACCAGAGTACGCGTGTTCCAGATATCCAAGGTCGTCATCACCAATCCCCTCTCCGTTCACTATCCGATTCAGCAAACGTCTTCGAATGTTGGTGAAATTGGCCTTGGCATCGATCTTCATCGTTCTCAGGCATTCTTCGCTGAACGCCGGTTCTTCATCATCATATTCTTGTTCTTCGTCATCAATATCGGAAACTCCAAAATCCTTCACCGTGCCCTCTGACTGCTGAATGCTGCTTGAACCGCCACTACGGGGGACCTGCTGTTCGTCCACCAAACCTACGTCCGCCCCGACTTGGTCCGTTCCTTGCAGACTCTCGTCACTTGCCACTGACAAAGAACTCTTTGTTTCCTTCACCGTGCCCTCTGACTGCTGAATGCTGCTTGAACCGCCACTACGGGGGACCCGCTGTCCGTCCGCCAAACGTACGTCCGCCCCGACTTGGTCCGTTCCTTACCGCAGACTCTCGTCACTTGCCACTGACAAAGAACTCTTTGTTTCCGCCATGGTTGACATTCAAAACCGTCCTCTGCTACCAAATAATGTGGCTCATAAACCCAGAGATATTCTCGAAAGGCAACTAACTGTCTTGAACCATACTCAGATTTACTTCGATGACCATTCAGAAGAATACCATCACAAGCAGAACTCTGGAAAAACAACAACTGTGCCTACGCTCCAATGAACTATATAGCAAGAGCGGCGGCCACATCTAACACCTTGCCTCTACACCAACACCTAGCACATACATGTAGATAAGAAGAGCGCGTGATGACGAATAAGGTGCTAAGTGCTAGCGTAGAAACAAGGCGCTAGACGTGGCGCGTACAGGCAACGATTTAGCAGAGCATGGAGAGGAAAACTGTTCAGCAACATTCGAAGAAGCAGAACGAGAACGAATAATACTTCAATTGAGGCTACCTCCGTAACACGGCCACTCCGCCACCGCGTGCTGTTCGATCCAGCCGGAAGGTGGTGTAGCCAGGGAATGTGGAGTCGGATGGTGGAACGGTTTCAGAGGAAAACTTTGTTTCCGTCCCTACTGCTATGTCGGGATTATGCTGGTGCAGTGTGTGCTGGAACTCAGCTAGCTTGTTTCCTAAGCTAAATGCATTGGTGCAAAAGAGTCTGAGTGAACATTTTTAAAACGGTATTGTGATGAATGACAGAACTAGGCATGGGTGTAAAAATGAAAGGTAAATGTGTATCAAAGCGGTAAGTTTCTGAAGTGACTTACTGCAGGACTTGTTGGCCACTCTCAGGAGATTTTCGTTTCCGTTTTTTCCGTTGCTTGGATCCAGTGGTGGTGGCACTCTGGTCCCGATCAGGTGTGACGCTATGGCGTGAACGCTTGGATCGGTTGACTTCCCACCCGCCAGAATCAGGATCATCGTCGCTATGGCCTCCCAGCTGTGGGCCTAGGGCTGTACATGCATCGCTGTCTGCCTTCTTGGCCTCCCTGTCGGAGTCGCAGGACAAGTTAGACAGCTGCTGGTTTTCTGGCTTGGATAAGCTTTCGTTGTCGACCAATGATTCAGTATCAGCAGAAAGAGGCAACTCTTCAGACTCAGAGGAGCTGGAGTCGCTCTTGTCAGCTGCTGGGAGATCAGCCTGCTTAGACTTGGATGTTGGGCATTGTGATTGGGCTTTACTTTGCTGCTCTGTCTGGGCTGGGTTTGCGACCACATCAGACAGGAGTCGACGTGTGCGTTCAGTGTCTGTACATGTAGGTGACGTTGAATGCCGTGACTGCTGTGTACTACCGGTACTGGCAGTGGTACTGCGGGCCTCAGGGCAGTCCTTGGCAAGGTGCTCTGGCTTGCTGCAAATCCGACACGTGGGCTTTTGGCCACTATAATGTACGCGGAAAGTGCCTTTCCCGTCTCTGGATTTCACGTACGAAGGTACGGCTTTATTCGACCCCAGTACAAAGGTTGCAAAACGGACTCCGGTTGCAATAACAACGTTGTCCCGTACCTTAAGTTTACCGTGGCGGATGGCGCCCTGCACGGTACCGTATGGAGCAAGTGCGGCTGTAATGGCGCCATCCGACACCCACACAGGAACATCGTGAATGCGCAACTGAACATGAGTGTTTTCTGTCAAGGATTTTGGAAGGATATGTTGTCCATTGATATGGAAACCATTCTTCACGACTAACTGGGCAAGCTGGATATCTGTGAACGTTAATCTGCATTGGCCTACCGAACTGACCTGGATAGATAGGATGAGCTCAGCTCCTATTCCGTGTCGCTCGAGGCAGCTCACGTACTCGGCGAGTTTCAAATCCTTTGGAGCTGGAAATATCACAGTTCGGGCCATCAGGTCCCTGGCGCTTACTTTCCGCCATGGGTCGACTTCAGCTGGTTCCCGAGATGTATCAGTGGTCTCCATGATCCCGGAACGGGCATATGTGGGGCTAAACGCCCAACCACGAGATTTTTCAGAGCTAAAAAAAGCTTTACCACACGTCACTGAGACAAAAAAGGGATGGAGAGCCAAGGATTAAAATTCGAAAAAAGCTAATTGTTGCACATTTTTGACTCAACAGTATTCTGCTTATAACCGTTAGTGTTGGACAAAACGGATAACTTGTAAAATTTATTATTAATATTATTTCTGAGAAGAAGTTTGGAGGCTTCTTGCAGTTTCATAGTAGATACAATTGGGTGAACTCACCCATTCCACAATACTCTGCAAATTTCCGAACCATTCCATTATAATTATACAACGTTTCAGCCAATGGCCTTCTTCAGGTAGTCAATGATGTCCCGAAGGCTGCAAATGGGCGGTTTAAATATGTGCCTGTTCCGCCCGAAGCGCGCAATCTATTCTGCTAACGGGAGGCGGGAAAACCCCCCAAAAAGCCAGGTGTAAAGCTGGCCTGATGTCAATGATGATGTTGCGTTGGACCGTAGCACAGTACGAGTCAAGCGCAAGGCAGGGAGGCGGGATAATACAGATCAGGCGCTAGGCGTAAATTTGCCACCTGCACTGATGGCAGGGCGCTGGGCAGTAGCAAGCTAGGACTGTGATAATGAGTCAGGTCTGAAGCAGGGAGACCGGATGATAGGAACAGGTGTAGAGTGACGACTGGCCCCGATGGCGGGGCGCCGAGCCGCAGAAAAGTCAAAGTATGTCAAGTGTGATGAAGCAGTGTGTCAAAAAGTCAGCAAGAGGCAAGTTGTGAAATTACACCACAGCAGGTTGGCATTTGTTGCTAGGTAATGCGCGTGCAGATGGTAGCCCAGGTAATGAAAGTAGTATACGATTACATGTATATGTACAGTATGGTGTAATAATTATCATGCAATATGCATTATAGAAGGTCCCAGCCGGTGCTTGTGTTAACTGGTGGCTTAGTGTCATGTATTTCAATGGCCTCACGAAGCTTGCGACGGGCTCTGGGCTCTCTGGCGATGACGGAGACTTCCGAGAATGCACTTTCTCCGCAAGCCAAAGTGCAGTCAGGGTGCTTGGTTCTGTAATGGTCCCCCCAGGGCTTGTCTACTGTCCTCCTTCGTGCGTCTCCAGTATGCTCCTCCAGCCGGGTCTCAAGGAATCGCTCCGTCTCGCCAACATATTGCTGTACACATTTCTTGCATTTTGTTTCGTATACCACCTGCAAGCAGGCATCCCGGGCCCCCGTCTGGCATGTCAGGCACGGTCCCTTGGGCCGACCTCTCGTTCTCCGCTGTGTTGGGTTTTTGGCTTTAAGGCATAATGGACGTACTAGGGCAGACTGGCACACTGTACGCTTCAGGCTTCCAGCATTCTCGTACACGACTCTGACGGCTATTTTATATTTTCGTATGGCTTTGTTTACAGCATAATCCACTTGGTCAGATTTGTATTGTAATTTCAAGAAGGCACTGGATGGGTTTGTCCAACGCCGACGCTTTGGCTTGCTAGCTCGTGTGCGCGCCTCGTTGATGACAATGTCCGGATAGTAGGGGTGAAACAATTATACCGAATACTCGCTCGGTTTTTTCAAAAATAATCATACTCGGAATAAATCAGAGTACTCGGTCATAGGTGGTCCGGGCATATACCACAGAAATCTGCAGTTTCAGAGCAGCAGTCGGCAGATATTGATGTGCAGAGTGTGTGGTGAACATTTGTTCACGAGTAGAGAGAGCCCAAATGACCCACCAACTAATATCCCCGAGAAAAATGATTTCTACTCGGTTCAATCAGGGTTGTATCATGTGATTTTAAGGCCCTTGGTGTGCAATTTTTAGGAGACTAAGGATACTCGAATATTCGATCGGAGAAAATCAGAGTACTCAAACTCGGGATCTCAGTGCCAACTTTCACCCCTACCGGATAGTGATTCAGTTTTATTTGCTTGGTTATCGTCAATTCACTTTCACTGCGCATCTGGGGACCTGATGATAGGCGCTGGGACCTCAGAAATTGCGAGGAGGCAACGGCCAACTTCATATGTTGGGGAGTAGCCGACGCATAATCCATCAGTAGCCCACTGCTGCATGATTTCTGGAAAAGCTTGTATGCCAACTCTCCCGACTCTTTGATCGCAATGGTTAAATCCATGTAATTCACTGAGCCACTCACCTCACTCAACTCGTATGTAAACTTAATCCTTGGGTGGTAGGAGTTGAAGAGACCAGACGCGCAGTGAAAGTGAATTGGCCGTCCACCATCTCTGGAAGAATGTTTGCACGGTACGACTCGAGCATTTTGTTCACGCTCTTTTCTACACTACTTCAATCAGTCATTGTGTTTTTGTTGTTACTGATCAACTTACTTCCTGGCCTCAGGCATGTCAGATCCTGATCTGTGACAGGCTTGCTCAACATCGGAGAGCATAGTCAAGACGGCTTCGAAGCTGTGCTCTGGAGTGCCTGATTTCACTGGTGCAAGGCCGAGGCTGAGAACACTGTCGGGAGTGGCTAGCTGCGCCGTGTAATACTTGTGTCCTTGTTTGGATGTGCCATCACGGTGCAGTGTTATATTGTCCTCCGTTAGCATCTGTTCTCCGATTTGTGTGAGGACCAGTTGCTTAGACTCGGCCAGGAAGTCGCACATCTTAGCAGGGCTTGGCAGTCGGTCAACCTGGTGCCCAGTAAGCGTTTCAATCACACACATCGAATAACCGGAGACACATGGTTTACCCCGATATTATGAGAGAGCAGTTGAATACAGCAGAGGCGCACTGCATCCGTATAGCGCGGGGCCTGCCTTCAAGGGTCTTTATCGTCTTCTTTTCCTTTTCAATATTGACTTGCTCTCTGACTTGTTGCTGCTGCTGTGTTTGTTTTGTGCCAGATATTTTTTTCTTGAGTTTGTTGACCGTCTGTAGCGCTACTTGGTATTTCCGTCTGAAGAGCATTTTCTGGTGGCATTCTGCTTGCTTGCCAACAATCGTAGCCGAGAGGTGTGTTTTGGCAGTTGTCAATTCAGTTCTCAGCTGTGCAATGGTGTTAGCATTCTCCTTCTTCTGCTTCTCGAGCCGATCAATGGTTTGTCTCAGCTCACCAAACTGC